TGTACTAATGAAATTTGCTTGTCCCCCCACCAAAAAAAGTTGCAAATCTTCAGTATACAGTAGTGCCTCTTTATTCCTGACTTTGTTTTCCACAGTTTTGGTTACCCATGGTCAAATATGGTTTGAAAATATTAAATGGGATGTTCCAGAAACAATGTTTTTAAATAACTTATTACAATATAATTGTCCTATTTTATTATTGTTGTTAATCTTACCATGTCTAATTTATGAACTTTATCATAGCTATGCATGACCCGCAAGGTGTTCTACAGCTGCGCTTCAGTGGCTCACAGTCTCCCTTTGTGTGACTGCCCACCACCAGCTCCTCTCAGAGCAGCTGCCTGCTTTCCCTTCTGTCACCCATTCTCAAGTGGCTTGTCCTGCTGAACTGATTCTCTAAGATCCTGCCATAAAAAAAAAAAAAAAAACCAAGAAGGGTTATTCACTGCAACTTTATCTTTGGAGGCTTCTTCATGGTTACAAAATGCACTACAAACCTGGCCAGCTGCCTCACAGAGACAAGCAACTGATCATGAGGGAAACCAGATGAGGGATGGGTGGATCAGGTGAACCTCATCCCTACTACAAAAACATGTGTTCAGCTTGTAGCAGATCAGTATCATCTTCTCCAGGCGCAAAGGAGAATCTATTTATATGCTCATTACATATGCACAGTTGTGATCAAAGTGGCAGGTGACAGGTCCAGGTGTTCCTTCAATAGGATGCCATTATGCATTATGCCTTCCTGCTCAGATTTTGTTCTGGACTTTATGACTTATATGCTGTCATTTCGTCTGTACAATATAACCTAAGCTTATGTAGACATTGGTTTCTTCTTCCTAGATAACAGATTCCAGCAATTATCATCTGCTTCCATACTTACACGAAATAGAATAAAACCACTATCATGGATATAATAAAATAGTTTTCATAATTGAACCAACTACAAAGATAGTCTGATAGATCATGAACATAACTTTTTTTTTTTTGGTGGTATTGGGAGTTGAACTCAGGCCCTCCTGCTTTATTAGGCAAGTGCTCTACCACCTGAGTCACATACCAAGTCCTTTTGCTTTTAGTTTCTTTTTCAGATAGGGTCTCATGTTTTTGCTGGGCTGGCTGCTGTTATTCTCTATCCTGCCTTCCAAGTACTTGGGACTATGGGTGTGTACCACCAGGCCCAGCTGGTTTTTGAGATAAGGTCTCAGCAAATTTTTTTTTTTTTGTCCTGGCTGGCCTCAAACTGTTGATCCTATCTTAGCCTCCTGAGTGGCTGGGATTACAGAATGTGCCACCATGCCTAGTACATACATAATGTCTCAATATTTACTAACTACCATGTGAACAGAATCAAACAGAACATGCAGGTATATACTGTGGTGGAAAAATATTTTTATAGCTGGCTCCAGAGTTCTTGGGGAAGGTACTTTCTTTGCATAGGAAAATACTCTGGTAAGCTGTTTAGGAATGGTAGGTAGTCATGAAGGCATAGATTAGGAGATGGAGCTAACTAAAATGCTGTATAAAGAGAGGAAAGAGGAGTGGAGAGATGGGAGCAGAGAGATGGTGGATAGTGGGAGGCTGCAGCTTATGCTAAAGGGATGGGAGTCGTGGATAAAAATGCCATGAGGGGAACAAAGGACTTTCAAGAGAAGGATTTCTAATTTTAGTTTGTGTCCCTCATTTAAAATTCTTAGCTACTCCAACTCTTTAGAAGATCTGCTGTGGGGGCAACCAAAGAAAAGGGGTTAATTTCCATGATGTGCAGCAACAGAGGAGTTGCAGGTGAGTCTCAGTGTTCAGAGAAAGCAAGAACTCAACAGCCAGAAATGACCTTGAGATCGAGGTCCCTAGGGAGTGGGCAGTCTTAAGAGAGGATCTGGGCTTTTCTACAAGACATGGACAACAGACTTGAGTCATTTCAACAAAATCTCAGTGACAGGGTGACCCTGACAACATTGTAACTTGCTATTTTCAACCATTTCTTCAGACATTTAAGGTCAGTAATTTACTCCTGATCCCTCTCTTTTTTCCTATTAAATATCTAGCCCTCACTTTCCTCATCTATAAAAATCTTGAGATTGGGGCTAGAATATCTCTTTGGTTTCTATTAGAGCTCAAATAATAACTAATATTTTATGTTCTAGTGAGGTAAATTTACCTACAGTACGATGTGCAAATCTTAATTGTACTTTTCCATGAGTTTTGGCATCTGTAGATACTCTGTAACTTAACCCTAGCAAGATACAGAAGTTTCCTGTCACTACAGAACATTCCCTCCTTAGCCAAAGTCCTTCTGCCATGCCAGCCAAATAGTATTGTGACTTTTATCACGGTGGATTAAATAGTTAATGTTTGACAGCTATTGTTAGATTCCAGGCTTCCTTTTATACTGCTTCATCATACTAATGAGTTTATTTCTCACAAGAACTGCGAGATAGCTATCTCCATTTTGCAGATGAAAACGGTAAGGATCAGAGCAGGTAATTAAGGTGCCCCAGGTGAACAGCTTGCAAGTGTTAGGACCAGAATGAATTAATAATCAGTTTTTACAAGGCTACGTTCTTTAATATCAGTTTGTACTATCCTGACGGCCCTGGGGAGTCCACAAACGATGGCCTAAGAAATATGATAGCTCCAAATTCAGTGGCGACCAATCCCAGTTACAGGTTCTAAATCCTCCCGGAGAATCCTAAAGGCCGTGCATGCAATCCATTCTATGGCAGGACTTGTTTCTTTCCGGTTCCCCAAGAATGGCAAGAAGGGCTTGCAAATTCCATGTGACTGCTGTGAAAACACACACCCCATCCCGGGTGTGTGCCAGGAGCGGCCCCACGCGCGAGAGCAACGCGGCGATGCTGCGGTGCTCCTTCCTCTGATGCCACAGACATCGGCATCCTGCTCCCTCGGACAGCAGGAGGCTGGGCTCACGCCACGACCCGAGCGGGTTCGCCCAGCCGTCCCCAGCAATGTCACCGTCCCCCTCCCTGCCTCCGCACCCGGGCTGGCAGCCCAGGCTCCTCCCAGAGCTGACTTAGAGCCTGGTGCTCTCCACACAAGCCATGCTGCCCGCGGCTGCCATGGCAACCGTACGCCGCCTCTTCACGCACGTCGCGAACTAACGGACTCTGCGGAGGCCTGAGCCCCGCCCCTACCACGGATGGTCCCCCCGCCGACCTGCGGCACGTAGGTAACGAACCCGAGGGACTGGGACGCGAAATGGCGGACAGGTGTGGGGTGCCTAAGCTGGCAACCCCGCCTCACCCACGCCGCCGAGGACGCTGGGGCAGCGCGCGGCGGGGTTCCGGGGGTGCGGGCCACCGGGTGAGGAGGGGGACCCGAGCGCTAGCGAGCGCCCGGCTCGCGGAGCATCTTGGGAATGGTAGTTCAGCGGCTCGTCGGGCTCGCGGCGGTGGCGGGGTGACTTTGTCTCCGCGAACTACAGAGCCCGGCGGCCCCGGCCGCCCATCGGTCCCAGCCCGATAAACTTTGAGCGGTCCCGGAGGGGACGAATGTCTTTCTTTGTCTGGAGGGGTCTCCCGGTGGTCGCGGAGCTGGGCCCTGCGCGCCGGGAGACGGACGTGAGGTGAGACGCGCACCCCGCCCCGCGGCTGGGCGCGCCCGCCCATCCGCCCGGCTGCCGCACACCCGCCCCACCCGCCGGCCACCGCCCTGCGCGGGGTCTGAGGGGCTGCCGCCCCGCCCGGGCCTCCCGGTGCTACCGCCCGGTGCAAACCCAATGCGAGACCCCAGAAACCGTCACTTAACAGGCCGTCCTACCCCCTGCTACGTTTATTCTAGGGGTCGAACCGTGCCGATTTTAAAGTAGCTCAGAGGTGTTGGGATATTAAACCCATCCGTTAGTAATTACTCACAGGGCAGTGGTGGTTAAAGGGTAAGTGTGGAAGTGGATGAAAGTTGCTGTTCTTATATGGTGCTATCCGGTGTTTTCTTTTTAAACCATTTTTGCATTTTATCTATTGAGGGTCAAGGTTGTGGATATAATCCCCACCCCCCCAGCCTGAACACTGCCTTCACATGCTCTGATTCTATTTTAAGGATTACTTAAACTTTAAATTACTAGTAACTTTTTTTTAAATTTTATGGTTTTTACGTTTACTCACGTGAATACATTGGGCTACACCCCCCCCCCAATAACTTTTAAAGCATGGCCTTTTTTTTTTTTTTTTCCTTAAGCAGTGGGTAATAGTGATTATTTTCTTGGATGAGTTCAGTGTTTTTCAGAATTTCTCAGGAGTATGTTTTCAGAATGGAAAATGCCATGTTCTAATTTGTTTTAAAAAATGACATGGAATACATGTTAGTCACAAGAGTTGATTAAAGGCTTGGTGGTAAGGAAGATGACAGAAATTTAGAAAATCTACCTTCACTATCATTTAAAGTCTTCAGTAGGTGGATGACCTAAAATTTTGGTATTTTATGGAGTGAGTTGGGAAATCATTGATAGTTGTGTGTGTGTGTATGTGAGAGAGAGAGAGAGAATGTTTTTACAAACAAAAGACCAGGAACACACTAAGATTCTTTTTCACTCAAAATGACCCCTAAATTTTATTTAAAGTGACAATTTTGTATAAGGAAACAAAGTGTTTAGTAAGACTGTTAGGAATAAAATAGACCTTATGTAGTGTAGGGATTTGAGGTGTTTTATTAATTCATTCAAAATGTGTTCAGAATCTACTGTGCTACCTGGTATTATGCCAGGTGATGGGACTAAAAAGATGTGTTTGCCTGTGTCCCACATGGGCAAATAGTCATATCACAATAGTGTGATACATGCCAAGTTGCCATAGGAGTAAATAATATAACTATAAGTTTTATTGAGTACTTACTCTGTGAGGCACAGTACAGAGCATTTTGCTACAGTTTCTTATATTTAGTCCTCATAATGAAGGTGTTTAGGGACAAGGAACTAGGTTTATAGATCTTGCCCAAAGTTATAACTGGTACAATCTAACTCATGATATAATTCACAGTCTAAACCACTGACACCATTTGGCCTACCAGTAGGTAAAAAGATCTTGACTCTGTCTAAGGTGATCAGGAGAGGTCTTTGGTATGAAGTCTTTTGACTGCATGTGTTAAAAAAGTTGATAAGCTTTCACTGGCGAGTGGATGAGGAAAGTCATTCTAGGCCAATGGCCTATGAGCAAAGGAGAGATTTAGTATGTTGTATTTGGGGAACCCTTGGTAGTTCTAAATGACTGGACCTCAAGAGTACTTGCAGTGTAGTAGGAGAATCCAGATCTTAAAGTAGTTGGTGCTCTGATCAGAGTTTAAAATTTTTCTTAACATGAGGCAACCATTTAATTTCAGGTAAAGTAGTGGTGTCACTGGGTTTATATTTTAGAAGGATAACTCTAGCTCTATTGTGGAGAACAGACCTAGAGAAGAAAAGATTAGTAGAGTGGTGTTAGGGAAACCAGTTGTAGACAAAGAAAAAGGTCTAGTAAAGAAACGAAGAGCGTCTAAACCAAGCAGTTGGGGTTGCAGAAAGAGATGGATTTGAGGAGTATTTAAGAGGTAGAATTGATACAATTTAAGGCTTTGGATGTTGGGAGCTTAGAAGATTTGGAACCCTCTAACAAATGATGCCTAGGTTTTTGTCTAGGATGATTGTCTAGGATAATGAAACCATTTGAGATTAGGAGGAGCAGATTTTTGTTGTGAAAGATGAAGAGGGGTTAGTTCAGTTTTGAATGTTTGTTCCAGGTGCCTGTTGGGTATGGAGATAGGGATGTGTTTGGGTCTGATGTCCAGAGACATCACTGTTTGGTTTGAGATAGATAAGTTGAAGTTGTAGACTTCATGGAGGAGGAATGAGTAGAAATGAAAAGAAGTTCAAATGTGGAACTCTCTGGAAGCAGCATTATTTAAGGTGTGTGTGTGCCCGCGTGCAAGCATATATTTGGAGGGGCTGTGTTTGAGGATAAGTGGGATTCCACCAGGAGACTGAAGAAGTTAGGAGGTGGAGAGGAACTGGCAGTGTGACAAAAGCATAAGGGGAGGAAAATAAGCAGGGAGTGGTCCAGAGTATCAGGTGCCTCAGAGAGGACAAGTTAGCAAAATGCTGAGAAATGTCTGGTAGATTTCATGGCTAGAAATCATTTAAAAACTGTAAATTAGGAAACAGCATGAACTTCATTAAAAATGTTTAAAAGGTTGGTGTGGTGGTACACTCTTGTAATCCCAGCATTCTGGAGACTGAGACAGGAGGATTGGGAATTTAAGGCCAGCCTGGCTACATTGTGAGAAAACAAAACAAAAAAGGCCCTAAAGTTTCCCATAATGATACATATGCAAAAGAAGACAAAATAGAACAGTGACCCCATGTAACTCACTTGCCTTGAAGAGGGAACACATAACCAGTTTTGTTTACTCTATAGCCCTGACCCCCAAATCAGTTATTTTGAAGCTAAGCTCAGCATTTTTTTAATCTATTATTATTTCAGTATGTGTCTTTTAAAAAGTTCGAGATTCTTTAAAAAGATATGAACTATAATCTCTTTATCCTACTTGAGAGTACTTCCTTAATATAAAATTTCCAGTCATACTTCTTTTTGAAGGAGCTTGACTGTGAAAGAGAAGAGATGAGGAAGTAACTGAAAAATGTTTGTAGGATTGACTTTTTTGATTGATAAGCTATTAGGGAATGAACCAATAAAGAGGAAGTGTTTGAAGATGGAAGAGATGGAGGGGAGGAGAGCTGATAGAGGTTTTAAATGCAGGAAGGGATGGGGTGAGCAGGGTGAAAGACTCGGTCTGGAATCAATGTCGCATTTGCCAGTTAAATGCTGGATGGATTCCTAGGCAGTGTGACAGAGAAGGATGTGAGAATGGGTAAGGATACTTGTAGGTTGAGTGAAAAGAGATGAGAGTCCAGAGCTTATGGTCTATAAGAGGTGGATAGGAATAGAGGTCAGCTGATGAGAGAAGAAATTGGAGTTCAAACCAAGAGAGGAGATTTGAAGTTGACATTGTGGAATGTCCATACTTGTCCTTACTCCATTAGGGCAAGTAAGAATAGTTTCACCAAGCTGAGGTTAGAAGTTGTCACTGGCAACAAAACATGAGAGTGTATAATTTTCTGCCTTCAGTTTTGGTTGATTTCCTGGGGGAGAGCTTAAAATATTGGGGGAAATCAGTAACTGAATGTGAAGAGAAGAAAAGGTATGCCAAGAACAGATCATTGGATAATTCCTCACCATTTTAGGTTTATCCTTTTAATAATTACACAACTATTACCTCCTTTGATAACTGTAAGAGTAAAATTAGAAAGGCCCATATTAAACTTTTTGATGAATATTTTCTCAACAGTTACAGGGATTATTTATTTATTTTGAGGTAGACTCCTGCTGTGTAGCCCAGGCTGGCCTAGAACTCAACCATGTAGCTTAGGCTGGCCTAAAACTCATGATTCTCCTTCCTTACCTCCTGAGTGCTGGGATTACAGGTTTGTACCACCATGCCCATATCTACAGTGATATTCTTGAATTTAGAATGTCGACCTAAAAGTGTCATTTACTGAATGTGGTGTAGGGAAAAATGTTAAACATATCTGTTGTTTAATTCTGGGGCTATATTTTATTTTCTCTGTGATCATAGACATCTTTCCAAACCTGTACTCTTTATCATATTAAAGGTGTTAATACTATTTCATATGATTAAACAGTTTAGTGGAGATAATCTCTCAAGTGTTTAGTAACTGAACGTTTCTCTTCCCTTTCTTCTCCTTCCAAACAATGTGGCAGGACTGCCAGTTCTGTCTGACAAAGAGGTCTTGCCTGTGACTGTACTTGAACATTAAGCAGGTTAATTAGCTAGTATTTAACATTAAAAATGATGACTTGATTCTATAAGATGATTCAGCAATTTTTTTTTTTTTTTTGGCAGAATTGAAGTTTGAGCTCAGGGCCTCACAGTTGCTAGGCAGGCACTCCACCACTTGAGCCACTGTGCCAGCCCTTTTTTGTGTTGGATATATTTGAGATAGGGTCTCTCAAACTATTTATGGGATGGTCTCAAACTGTGGTCCTCCTGGTCTCTGCCTTCTTAGCAACTAGAATTACAAGTATGAGCCGCTGGCGCCTGCCTGGTCAGCAGTTGTTCTTTTAAATGAAACTTTCTTATGATCTATCAATGCTCAGTAAGTTTCTAGCTGTGGTATATTCTTGTGTTTTTTAAGGTGATAACCTCCCCCCCTCAAAAAACCCAAAAAACCCCAATGTATTTTATTTCTTTGGTAGCTTTGATTTGTTTGCAGACCAAAAAAATGTAACTTCATCTCCTGTATTCAATTCTCTGTTCTGTGTTCTGTCTGTCTGTATCTCATTTTTTATTATTCATATGTGCATACAAGGCTTGGGTCATTTCTCCCCCCTGCCCCCACCCCCTCCCTTACCACCCACTCCGCCCCCTCCCTCTCCCCCCCTTCAATACCCAGCAGAAACTATTTTGCCCTTATCTCTTATTTTGTTGAAGAGAGAGTATAAGCAATAATAGGAAGGAACAAGGGTTTTTGCTAGTGAAATAAGGATAGCTATACAGGGCATTGACTCACATTAATTT